GGAGACTTTTAGCATCTGACGACGGAAGAAAATGAAACGCAGTTACTAAAAATGTCCTTCTGTACTGAAAATTTTGAAGATAGACAGAAATTTTCCAAAAAGTATACTTCTTTGAAAATTTAAGAAGAGTTCTGTAGTGTCCCAGCGTGTTTTTGAAAATTTATTCACCTTTTGCGAAATTTTTAGTGTACAATTTTCACTTTTTCTTACGAAACAAGGGTTACATGTGAATTAGTGGTGGTTTTTCACGGGCAGCACGGGCCCCCTCCGGGGCCCGGGCCCCGGTACCAGGGACCCAGTATCCCCCCCCCCTTGTGGCGGGCCTGTGTGCACGATAAGTATCTTGATTTATTTTGCGAGGAAAGATCTGTACTTTTAAAGGATGTCCGTCATTCTTAATACGTTCAATTTCGTATAATACTGCGTGCAACACCTCTGTTGTGAAAAAGTTGCTTCAGGCGCCGCCGCACTGCGGGCGGGCGGCCAGCGCGGAACGCGCATTGGCGCCTACAAACCTAAGTGGATACTTCAAGCATTATGCAATGCGTGAAGTATCAACTTAGGTTTGTAGGCGCCAGTGAGGCTCTTGCGCTGGCAGCACGCCGCTCCACTCTTTTAGGCTTTAATATTTATACTCGCATAGTCAGCGTTTTTTAACTCATGATTTTGAAATGTTAGCACACTCTGCATTGATTATTCTCATTTAATTTGATGGGAAAAAATATGTATCAATTTATCAAAGGAGGATAATAATATAATGTGTGTTTTTTTTAAATATTGGTGGTTCCGTGTCTAATTTAATGATTTCCAAAGCACTTTAATTTTGTCTTTTACATTTTGTGCTTTTATTGTGCGGCAGCTAGGCGTACACGCAACCAAACGCTCAAAATTTGACGTATTTGATTCTAAAAGGCGAACGCGAACGGGTTAAAACTAGAGATTGCGTGCTTCTTGGTTTTCCCCCCTCTTTTATTCATTTTTGCAGTTTCTGTAAACACAATTGCGGATTATTGAGAATAATGTCGCTTGAAAAAGGTTTTACAAATATTTGTCAATATAAAAATTATTTACAATACTATTTGTATTACGTTATCAATGTATTATATTTAAAAATATATAAATTTTTTCAAGATTTAGTAATAATTTCGTAAAGAAAAAATTAAAAAAATAAAAAAAGTACCTATACATGTATCAAGTATATTGTACATCGAATATTTTAAGGATAGAAATAAAACCAAATATTCACCAAAGACAATTTAAAAAGATGATTCAAAAGGAGAAAGTAATAATATTTCATTTAGAAAATGAGCAACTATAACAACACCTCCTTCTCTCTCAATTTCTCATTTCCATATTGTCAATATAATTTTACATACCAACTAAAATATAACGCTTGGACCAAGTCACCGTTGCTTATTTTACATGTGGGCGTTAACTACTGGACAAAAAAGGTGCGCGGACAAAAAATCGTTGACAAAATGTCCTAAAACCGAAAATTAAGAAATATTTCACAGCCTCTCGTGAAATTTCATGAAATTTTTCACTGAAATTTCCAATCTTTCATTTCTCTCTTACGTTTCATGCCAGCCTGGTCACTTACAATGTTTATGTCTGAAGTACTCTGATATCGAAGAACGCCGTAAGAGCATTTAAATGTTTGCAAACTACCAAGAATATTATTATTATAACCAGATTATGAAAATGCCATTTTCATGCCCTCCTCGTTTTTTTATCCGTTTATTTCGTGATATTTCCATTAATTGGTTTGAGCTGCTATAATACTGGTGCAGGTATGCATATTCACGATTTTGGTCCACGAGGAATGGACGAGCTGCATAGAATGTGAAAAAGTACAAAATAATGCAATTATATTTAATCAGTGCACTGTCAATCGGTTTTTTGATGCTTTCAAACTCATTGAAAACGGACCTTGAGTTACCTTTACTCCTGAGCTGCTCCATGATTATGAAGAATACGTAAGTTGTAATCATGCCACAGCATCTTCAAATACTTTTAATTCCGACGACAAATATTGTGACACATTTTCCTTGTCCGCTCACGTACCTTCCAATTTCTTGTTCATAGGAATGCAGTGTCCAAAATAGTAAACACGAGTATTAAGCTTAATTGGCTTAATCTAGGCCATTTCGTTTCTCCGATGCTTTGACAAATTTGGGAGTTACTCATAAAAGGGGTAATGGCCACTGTTTTTAATTACAGGTTTTTCGTCGAAGAGTGAGAACCTGTGCATTCAAAAGAGTTCCTCCATGACTGAAACACACGACCTGAATTACTGAACTAGGTACCAATACCACGCGATTAGGTATACACTACACCACTAATTTTATACAAAATATTACTAAGAAAAATATTTGAACGTGCTTGGAGAAGCAGCAAATATAAAAACTAGAAATTCTTTTTTTTCTTTTAATTTTAAGAAAAAGTTGATGAAAGTTTTCTAGTGTCAAAAGATACGTTCTAGTTATAATCACCCAGTATATTTTAGCGTAATCTTAAAACAATGGAGTATTTCACCCACAGTTTAATGCATTGAAATTCTGGTCACTTAAATCTTGAGTTTGGCTCGTTTCCAAAAGATGTATATTTTTGGGGTGGAAAGCAATTTTTTTTTTGGAAATTAGCGATGGGGTGATGTGGTTGACTGCAGCGCGTTTGAATGATAACGCGATTTTGCTTAACATAAGAAACTTGGCATCATTAGCTATCGATGTCATACTCCATCGCGTTGCGCATGGGTTCACTTTGTTCTATAGTGGCTTTGAACTTGTCCTCTTGGCAGAAGGAGTCATAGTAGCGCAGATTCATAGACGAACGTCACTCAAGCGTATAAAAAATACGAAATAAGAATTCGGCTGTAAACAGCCGATGTCTGATGCGAATTTTATATGATGTCGGACGGACTAGATGAAAACAATTATAATTCTCATGAGTTCGACAGGGTTTCAACATACTATTACGAGTAACCATTGAACAGCATCAACCAATTGAGTGTAATTTATGTTTTTCTTTTATTGTTGACGCTGATTCGCAATTTTTCCCCTGTAAGTTGTAAGTGCACTCAAAAAACAATTACATCCATCATTTTAACACAGGATCTACACCCTTAAACGCCATGTGGACATAGAAAAAGTAGGCAAATGAGACTGATCTATTCATAGACTTCTGATGAGAGTTGTATGAAACATCGATACTGATTATTATGAGTTACGGATTTCTTCTTGAATCAAGAATAATCCACTAAAATCCAGCAGCTTTCTGCTTGACTCTTTTGGTGTTAAAATTGTGTTTCTTCTTTGACTGAAGAATATATTTGCTAAGATCAAGTCAAATTTCTGATCAGGACGCATTAAGCAAAATTAGAAGGTCGCAACGGACGCAAATAAGTCTGGAAACAGGTAGCAATTGCAAAATTTACTAAAGTCTCTGTTAAATTCTGGAGCTACTAAAATATTTTTAATCCTCAGTGTCCGGTTTGTTTGATGCAATTTTTGCTTATTCACCGCAAAAATAGACCTATCTGCATACACATTGAAGAAACAACGTTCTATGTGTCCGAAGTGGCTGTCTCTGCATTTTAATCCTAGTGTTCGATTAACGCCCGGGTTCGACCACAGAATTGCCCTAGATTCAGCTTCCAAACGACTTTCATCAAAATTCATCCGTGAAATTTAGAAGGCTCCTTTTAATTAAACCCTATGCACATACTTCCCGCTTACTAACTTGTATCCAAATGTGAAACAGTTCAAGTTGGTCAAAGGAGGACCGAAGATGAATCGAAGAAAGGGGTCATGTTGATTCCTCTCCAGCACGCTGATTATTAATATCGGTAGACAAAGCGACAGACATAGAAGATTAAAGGATAATTGAGCGATCCCATTGGTGGGAACGGGTGGTTGCAATGGACACAGGAGGTAAGTAATAGACTAACTAACGGCAACCCATGAAGAACTCAGTTGTAAGTCCAGTATGTTCGCCCTTGATCTAGAACAACCACCCGTTTCAACCAATACGATCGCTCCATTTTCTACTTGTCTTTTTTGTCTATCGCTGCGTCTGTCAATTTCAACGATCAGTTTGCCGAAGTCTAAAGAGAAAACCTCACAAATCACAAAAAGAGGCTGAGTGCACATGATGGATCATTTGAACTTTATAAGATACATCTCCACCCACCGACTTGAAAGCAAACCCCTTGATTCCTAAAACGGTTCCTTTTTGTCGAGCGTAGCCCTACTCTTTGTAAACCAAAGTAAATGATGGTAGATTTGAGGGGCTCGGAGGACAAGGCGCAGAAGTGCAATTTTTGCTATTTCGAGAAACACGTGTTTAAAATTTTGAAATCACATAGATCCCAATAGCAAAAAGAAAGTTCAAATTGACTTTTTAATGCCCAAAAGTCGGAATTTGGGAGCAAATTTTTCACAGAATATGCACGAAGCACTGGGAAAGAAACACATTGGATCTAGAGTCCAGACCCTTAAAAACATCGACAAGAAAAAGTTCTCTTGATTCAATCAGAATCTAGCTTAAATCAAGAACCAAGCCTCTTATTTTAAGCGGATTTCGTTTTGATTCCAGCAAAAATCCGATTGAATCAAGAGTTTTTTTTTCTTGTCAATATTTTCAAGAGTCTGGACTCTAGATCCCGTGTGTTTTTTTTTTTTCCTAGTGAGACGAGCTTTACTTGAAATTATTAATATCTCAATTTTTCCAAAAACTGCACTTATGCGGCCTGTCCTCCAAGCCCCTCATCTGTCACTTTGAAAGTGACTCGATGCCTCGGGGTATTGGCCGACTCTGTCGCCAGTGGCAACATCGGGGAGACGCCGACGATGACATAAGAATCCCGCGCGGGGGTGGAGCGGCGAAGAAGCGAAACGGAAACGGAAAAACGTGGAAAAGCGGAGGAGTGGCCGATGCAGCGGCGGATGCCCCATAAAAAATGCTTGATCAGTATAAAACTATTTCCTCGAGGATAGACCCTCGCAGATTATCGTCTAGTGGTTCCCGCACCAGCTGTTCGTCATGAAACTGGTAAGTTTCCCCATCTATTCATTACTTACAACCAACAAGTTTTGCCTGGGTTCAAAGCTATTAATTCAGCAATAAGAAAATTCGGAAGCTCCGCGATATCAAAAGAAGAAGATGTATTTTTCCCGATGTTGAATGTAGATCAAGCAATCATCATTCGTTCCACTGATTTATATAGTTTATTAAAAATAGGAAAAAAGTAATAATGATAGGGGACGCTCCTCGGGGGGACGAATCCCTCTGTGCGTTCACTTGAGTGAGGTTGATTAATTTCTAAGCTTAAAGCATTGTATATGCTAATAAAGTATTGTCATAAATAAAAAATTTACTTCTCTAGATCCTTTCGCACTGTAGTGTATCCTTTCGTAACATCCGGAAGTATCATGTACCTCAACCGGAGATGGTGTTTACTTGAATGCCTCCCAAAAATTAAGAACGTTTGGTATAATCTATAGGCCACGAGGAATCTTTGATTTTCACCGCATATTTGATGCCAGTACGAACTCGAGAACCTCAGCGATGACAATTAAAATATACGTAATGCAGGGTATTCTTACTTTTAAATTAGCACTCTACACTTATTAAAAGTTAAAAGCTTGGCTGTATGGACATCTTTGAAAACTTCGGCAAACTAATTTTCTTAAAAAGTATAGATGATAATGAGGTGAATTAAAGCTTTCGAACGAACACATAATCTCGAGATATCCCATGGTGTTGAAATAATTGACATATAGTCTGTTGTAAAATACATGCTTAAATATCTATCAATACTTGAACGTTCACTAGATACTTAGCTTTGTCTTAAAAAATCAAATTGACCATAAAAATAACAGAGCCCAAAGAGTATGTGTAAGACTTCCCAACTCCATTTTCTCGTTAAAATTTTCATCGTATATAAGTTTTTCCAAGAAATTTTAATCCTTAAGTTTTACTGTAATTTTTAGCATCTGAAGATACCCTTTTATGCATAATTTGAAACAAAATACCGCCGATGATACAGAAGTTGTACTTAATTACCTTTAATTTCCTTTACCCTTGATCATCTTCAATGACAAGGGAGAACATTAAACATCACCATATCAAATTTTGAAAACCTTTATTTTATTCCAACTGTGTAATCACAATTTAAAAAATGATGTATGATTTGCATTCCTCTTACGAACAAACTATGTAAACTCTGCATAATTAAACAACGCATAATTTTTTTTTTATTATTTTTTTTGACAAATCGTTCAATATGTAGCCCAAGGAGTAAAATAGATCACGGGGGTAACAGTGTTACCGTAACACCACAGGTTTGACAATCTTAGCACCAGCAGATTTTGTCCTCTTGATCTTATCATTGTCTGGTATCGGTCCTGGTGCCATTTCCTGAATTTTACGATCAGGGAAGTAAATTGAACAGTTCACTTTTAGAGGACCCGGGCGTTCCAAACTTATGGACTACCGGAGTCACGTTGCAGAAGTAGGAGCAAGACTCAAAAGTTACTTTTTCTTGAGATCTTTCAAAAGTAGACGTTTGTCGTCCCATTTTCTGCAACGGGCGAAGAATGCTGAAATAGTTGGTGATTACGCCGGCGAGGCCTAAATCTGATCAGAAGTATGCACTGAGGTTGACTCCTAGAGGAACTGGATACTTCCCCACTACATTTTGCAATTCGATATTCATCAGTTAATAAAACTTGGAAAGTAAAAATTTGAGTCTATAAAGAAGTATATGAGTATGAAAAATTATTGTATAAACAAATTTTAGTCCACTAATAGGATGTCAGATAATGTCATGAAATACTTAAATGGCTTAAATAAGCATGTACAATTTACTATTGAGAAAATGCAGAATAATCAAATAAACTTTTTGTTAACCTGATATAATAAACCTAATAACATATTTTATCGGCATTATTTATAACTCAAGCTTACATCAATACGTTTAAATGGAGTACAAGACTCAGGTTGTCTAGTATGAAAATTGTTCACTTGAAACCGGGACAGAATCAAATAAATCTTCTCATCCAATTTCTCATTGTTTTTTTCGGTATCACAGAAAACGAAACTCTAGAACGGCGAAAGTTGCGTAAAATTATCCTTACCATTCAAAGAGACGTCTAATCTCTTCGGTCATAAAAATCATGACCATTGATCAAACTTATTCAATTTATTATGACGTCTAAAATGCCAAGGATCAACATTTCTCGAAACTCCTACTTTAACAATGCTTTGAATGTGTGGTGTTAAATCCAGAAACTATGTATCATCTCTTCCCAGTGTCATTGTGCTTAATTGAGATTAAGGAAAAGAGCAAAAAAATACGATAAGCAATGTTGTTCAATGCCTGTTATGGTGGTTATTTTGAGAAAAAAATGTGACTTCACTAGTTAACGACGATACCTCTCCGAAATTCGAACAGCAATTCCTGAACCTACTTCAGGCAACAGAGGTCAAGCACCTTTCCTCGAAATATTGCCACAGTGAAACTACCGGCTGCTTCATCTAGATTAATTGCTAAATAAAAGATGCTCTGCTTGATCTTTCCGCCATTTATAGAGATGTTGCATTGTTGATCTTTTACGAAAATTTACATTGCTTAAGGACGAATTAGCCACATGGAAAAAAGAAGAGTCTTCTCTTATTAGGAAATGTAAAGTCCGCTTCTTCCATCATTTCTCACTAAATTTACGGTCAATTGCAGTGGAGAGGCGTGAATGATCACTTTGAATGATCGATATTTCTCCATTTGAAGTTGCGGTAAAGAATCGATTATTAAAGGGTTCTTCGTGAACACCATGTTTATCGGGCCTTTACACATATAGGTTTAAATGGTAAACCAATCAATTTATCGCAAAGCACGCTACATGACGCTACGCCACTGGGAAATTGATGCATCGAGCTCCTTGAAGTATAGCCGTGGACGCTCATTTAAACTGTGTCTGGGTTAAAATACAAAATGATGTCGCATTATTCGAAGATTTGGGGTTATTTCACTTTAATGAGCTTTAAAATCTGGATCAATATTACGGTAACTCCAGAGACAAGAGACCCACCACTAATATCTTGGCCATGATGGAAGCTTTTACTTCCGCGACTTCGGCATTCCACTGTTGACTTACCTACATGGTTGATGTTCAACAAAGAATCATTAGTTTCGTTTTGCAAACAAGCCGAAAATGGCCAAATTTTGGGAAACTTGTTTGGCTCATGACGTCACCCGACGCGCATCAGCCACCATGTAGGTAGGCCAACAGCCGAAATTAGGATGATGACTGCTGTTCCTTTATAATCGTCCATAAGGAATTGTTGAATCCCCGAAAGTAAAAGCTCCTACCTGTCGCCAAGATGCAAGTGGAGGGTCTCTTGTCTCTGGGTAACCCTTTAGGCAAAAGCCCTTTTTTAAATTCTTTAATATTGTGTCTTTGCCGAGTTAATCCCACGAACTATGTCGCAAAACTGTTATAGTGGAGCTACAACGTGGATGCGCTTGTTTTTATATTTTTATGCCTCATTATTTGAGCGTTTGACATATTGTGTCAGATATAATAAAAATCTTATGAAAAAGGCAGCCTAATTTATGGCTGACCAGATATTTGAACTAAAATGGCTCCAAACGGCGCCACGGTGAAGACTGGTAAATTGCCGCATCTTGATAATATCATAGACGCCAGATTGAGGCGACAAAACCCATAATTTCTCACTTGACGCTGCATTAAATAAATCGGACCTGGTTCATGATAACTCTAAGCGGAGAGGATATAAAAAGTGGACCTGCTCTGCGGCATGAGTTCCCAGTGGATTTAGTTGCATAATCAATGAATGAGAACCGTTTTGCCTATCGACATTTTTGAAGGCACTTAATGCGCGGCTCAACTCCGTTTGCGATTCTCTCGCGGAGTCGTACGGTCACTAGAATAAGTGTGTAGCGTTCGGACTATATACGTTATTGAAGGCGTTTATAGCGTGTCTAAATTTTAAGCTTACAGTTTACAGTCATGGTGCTGGTTTGATATTGTGTGCTGGCTTGACGCAGTCGAAGTTATTAATGCTCTTCCCTAGTGATTTCAGCTTCTTCATCCATTAATGAGATGAGAAAATATGCTCACCCATCATGTATAAACTTCAAGGGCTCTCTCGTACAAGTTCTGTTTGGATCCCTTCGAATATCTCTCCAATAATATTCTATTTTGGACAGCTAGAGTTTGCTTCAATGAAATCCTGGTCATTACATCAAGAATCATAATAATGCGGGATAACATAAACTCCCATAAACAATTTCACTTTTGGGAACTTTTAAAGGCAATGAATGGGGAACTCGTTTCAAGCAACAACACTATCTTTTTGTCACAAGGGGGTTAGAAGTTGTTAGTTTTCCAGAGAATCGATCAAAGTAAAAAAATAGGGTCCAATCAGGGTCTAATCAGAGTCAAACCAGCAGGATTCAAGCAGGGTCAAAATATGAATGAGCCTGAACCTATCGCAAACCGCGGCAAACTTCTAAAAATCTAATCATATTAAGTATAAAAAATAGAAAAAAAGGTGGGTCAAACTGTATTACTTCGGTAGAATCAGTTTAAAATGAAATTCAAGTTTGTGCCTCAGATGAGAGGCCTTTTTCATGAGCTTAAGTTATTTCGTTGCTTCTCTGACGTAAAGGCATCACTCAATTTCTGAATGAGCTCCAAAAAGCATGGATTTATATGTATGTGTAAAACAGGGCTCACGTGGAAATTAAAATAAGTCCTTACTTCAGAAGGGCGACGATTTAAGAGGAGAAAGAAATATGGGTACTCGTCGTGTTCAGACCCTCACTATTGTATGGCTTTAAATTTTTGAAAGAGTAACTTAATTAATACATTCTATTTATAACTCCTTTTTTCGCGCTATTGCGTGTTGCTCCCAGTTCCACAGAACGGTATGGATTACAACTATTACATCAACTCGCACACGTCCGTCGCGTCGCTTCGGGAAACACTTCTCGGGAGATGTGTTGGCCAATCAGCGGTTGACGGACA